GAGCCTTTGCACACTATTAAATTCAAAAAACGTTTAAAATAAATAATCAGGTCCATTTATTCAAGAAAGATGAACATTTTAAATATATTCTCTCCTAATGCGTGCAGTAGGGGGTTAACTCGTTTAATTTCTTTGATGCGAGTTGTAGTAGCTTCTAATTCATCCTGCTGTTTTTGATATCATGGCTACAAGTGAAATTCATCTCACATTTTCCAACAGATTTGATGATGCTGCCTTTTCCAGACGAGCAGCTTCGTGGGTCAAGATTTAATTACAGATTTTCCATGGCTCAGTATGGCAGTTAGTCTTTCAAACAAACTTCACTAAGCTAGACGCACTTGAAAACAACCCCCCCAACTCTACCTCATATCCAGCCGTCTGGCTCCGCTCGGGCTAAATGCATCACAAGGCAGCTGCTTGGCCTATTTTTGTTGTGCAGGTGGCCCCAGACGGAGCAGCAGGTCCACACGCCTCATCACTGTAAGGTGTTTGTGAAAGACTCTGCTGGAAATGGTCTCAGCCCTGTCTGCGCTGAACAGGGGCAGCTTTGGGCTCTCGCTGGGCTTGTTTATGACCACCTTTGTGGTCACCGCTAAAAGGTGCCATTAAACCATAGAAGCCATGAGGAGTTCGTGAACTCATATTATGTCTGTCGCCTAAACTGTTGAGAAAAATACTTGCTGCAAATAACTGCGTCCAAGAATAATGTCTGAAATGATGAGTAGACCCTAAAAAATGAAGACGGGCAACAAAAGCGGTACAAATGTAAGTTTAAGATCATACAGTCCAAATCAGCTCACTGTCCTCTGCTACTGTAAGAAACACCCTGGTGGACATGATTATTTACATGCATTATTCTTTGTGTTTATATATAAACACAAAGTACGAGTGGATCAGACACAGCAGTGCTGCTGGAGTTTTTAAACACTGTGTCCACTCACTGTCCACTCTATTAGACACTCCTGCCTTGTCAGTCCACCTTGTAGATGTAAAGTCAGAGACGATAGCTCATCTGCTGCTGCACAGTTTGTGTTGGTCATCCTCTAGTCTTTCATCAGTGGTCACAGGACGCTGCCCACAGGACGCTGTTGGCTGGATATTTTTGGTTGGTGGACTATTCTCAGTCCAGCAGCGACACTGAGGTGTTCTAAAAACTGTGTCTGATCCACTCGTACCAGCACGACACACACTAACACACCACCACCACCACCACGTCAGTGTTACTGCAGTGCTGAGAATGATCCACCACCCAAATAGTACCTGCTCTGTGAGGGTCCATGGGGGTCCTGACCACTGAAGAACAGGGTAAAAGGGGGCTAACAAAGTATCAGAGAAACAGATGGACTACAGCGTGTTTTCAGTTAAACCGCCCATCTTGTTTGATGCTATTATTGAGCTCAAGCCAAACGCTGATCATGGATCGATTGCAGCTGTCTGCATGGTTTTCAGGAAACTCAGCTGCACCCATAAATTGCTCATTAACATCACTATGATGTTCACGATGCATCACCAAAAAATTATCAAATAAATGGCGAATATATGATGCATCACTCAGCTCTGTTTGTGAGCTCGCTCTGTATGCTTTTATGGACCATCTCAGCGTGATTAGGGAGTCACGTGTAAGCACGAAGGGGACTCTAGGGAGGGTGGGAAATTGGAGGGTTGGGTGGGCTTCACTATGCAGGTGGTCTCAAGGGTCTACTTTTCCTTTTTAGCCTGTCTGATTCCATATAGCAGCGGAACTGAACCAGCCAGCATCGAGCCCCTAACGAGGCCCCCCAATCCTTGAGAAATCCATCTTTTCCCTCTTTGCTGTCAATTAAACTTTATTGCCCCTCTCTCTCTCTCTCTCTCTCTCTCTCTCTCTCTCTCTCTCTCTCTCTCTCTCTCTCTCTCTCTCTCTCTCTCTTTTCTGTTCTCTTTTTTTCTCCCTGTGGTTTATTTTTAAGTACTGTCATCCAAAAGTCCCAGATGCCCACAGCAGCTCTTAAAATCGTCAGTGCAAATATTTACTTGTTATTTCACTCTTATGGGAAAAAGCCGGGTAATTGTTCGGTGGAAGAAGACATGCAGCGCAAGTTTCAGCAGCGGTCAGTCCGAAGCTCAGGAGGAGTTCGGACAGAAAACTCCGTGCTCAGCTCAGGAGGAGTTCGGACAGAAACCTCGGCTGTTTGTTTTTCTGATCCCAGCAAGTGTGCATCTGTGTTTGCAGCGAATGGCTGTGACCCCTGTGAACAGAAAGCAAAGCAATTAACCCAATTAACCTCCCTCTGCTGAGGATCAGCAAGTGCAGTGCCTCAGAGTGCTGCCCCGTCCCCTGCAGACACCACAGGGTGATAAACGCTCGCCTGTTTGTTTTGCGTTGCCTCTTGTGTCGTGTGTTTAATGCACAATCCAGGACTTCTGGCTGCATGATTTAAAGTCCCAAGAAACACAGCGTAAAGAGGAAAAATGGTATTTTATGATAATAAAATTTAATGTTGAATTAAATATCCAGCAAAGTTCAAAAGGGGAAAAAAAAAACAAGATATATATATATATATATATATATATATATATATATATATATATATATATATATATATATATATATATATATATATATATAAATAAAACACCTTGGACATGCAAGTAAAGTATTGAGCAGAGGTCGCAACCCAAATGTTAAGAAGAGCCATTTTGTCCTTTCAACAAAAATCAAACCACCTTGGGAGCCACAACATTTTATGTACATTTTACCTTCTTGGCTGTAAAAATATCTGTGTTTGCTAAAAATATAAACAAAAACACAGACTTACTTTGCTCTGCTTTAAGCTTTAGCTCAGCTTTAGCCACTTTTCTCGCATCTCCGGCAGGAAACTTTTCCACAAAAGTTAAACAGTTTCTTGTAAAATGTCTCTAAACGTTTGACTTTTTGCGAGGCTGAAGTCGCTTCTCATTCGCCAGCTTCTTTTTCGAATTTTCCCGTTCCGCCTTAACTGGTGCCTGAGGTGCCTGAATGTAACTGCTGCACCATTTTAAGGTGGAACGGGAGAATTTAAACGAGAGGCTGACTTCAGCTTTGCAACTATTTATGTTGTCTGTGTTGCTATGGTGACCAGCAGTCTGCGCTGATCGTCAGGGTTAAAGGGTGAATCAGCAGTTCTACATTAACTCCAGAGTTTAAGACCATTTATTGTTAAACTGTGTTGAACGACCAGCAGAGCTTTATTTTACTGTAAAGGAGGATTATTTTATTTTTACATACTAATCTAATTCTGCTGTGGAGCCACAACAGGGCAGTAAAAGGGCCATGTGTTGAAATTAGTCAAATGGCCTGGACAAGTATCTCTAAAATAGTAACTTTACAGGACTTTTAATGCAAGTTAATGTAAAAAGGTTTTATTCCAAGCTATTTTAGGACGCTTCTGTTGACCCAGGCATCATGAACATTTCACACGATATAAAGGACGTCTGCCATGCTTGTATTATATACAAAAGTGAAAATTGGAGAAAATGGAGATGCATGTTTTTGTTTTTTTGGACACCAAAGGTGTTGTAGACTCTTCTGTTTATTGGACACAATAATTGTGATCATTTATTATCGTGCAGCCTTAATCCATCCATTTCTTCCCACTTGAGCCTTGTGTGATGTTCCTGATGGGTCTGCCCAGCTAGAGAAGTGAACTGTGTCCCTTTACTAAACGTTCAGCCCTAAAGCTTTCTTCAAAGTGTAGGTGGTTATCCTTCCCCAGAGGACCTCATTAAGAGTCTCTTCATCCGTCTCATGATGGTGTAGTCCCAAGAGCAGCTGCCATTGTTTCACTGATTTACAGCTAGATTTCTGTGAAAAAGCTGTTTATATGCATGAGGGCGGTTGGCCTATGTTTAGCCCTCTGTGTTCTTCTCTAGTTAACGCAGCAGTCAGCAGATCGCAGTTTTGTTTTTTCACATACACAAAAACAAACCGGCGATGATGCGGAGACGTCTTTTTGGGGGGCAGGTTGAAGTTGAGATGGAGCAAAATACAGGGTTTAGTTGCATAGCTATTCTTTTCAGAAGCTGAGAGGAAGGAATTAAGGCTGAATGCTCTAATTTTAACTATTTTTAAAATAATTACCAGTAGTCATGTGACACATTTGCATGACAGTACTACTCCCAGAGGAGACTGAGGTGGGTTACAAGAAGGGTAAACCTGTTATTCAGCCTCTCTAGAAATGCATGCGAAGCATTTCATCATCTCTTACATTTTCAAAAGCGTTTTAACAGACAATCCGGTCATCCTCTAGTCCTTCATCAGTGGTCACAGGACGCTGTTGGCTTTTGGTTGGTGGACAATTCTCAGTCCAGCAGCGACACTGAGGTGTTTAAAAAATCCAGCAGGACTGCTGTGTCTGATCAGCTCGCACCAGCGCAACACACACTAACACACCGCCACCACGTCAGTGTTCCTGCAGTGCTGAGAATGACCCACCACCCAAATAGTACCTGCTCTGTGAGGGTCCATGGGGGTCCTGACCACTGAAGAACAGGGTAAAAGGGGGCTAACAAAGTATGCAGAGAAACAGATGGACTACAGTCTGTAACTGTAGAACTACAAAGTGCACCTATATAGTAAGTGGAGCTGATAAAATGGATGTTATGCCTGATCAGTGTATATATGTATGTATAATATCTCCATGTTCGTTGGTTTTCAGGTTTTGACATAATTTGAAAATGCTTGTTGCTCTTTACATTGTGTCTGGTTCCACTGACTTACATTAAAAGTAAACCATGTTTTTTCCTTTTCCTGTAAAGTTACCATTTTGGAGATACGAGGTTTTGTTCCGACAACAGTGATATAATAATAAAATATTATATATATGTAAACGTCGTATACGGTGAATACTGAAGTTTATGTAGGTCATTCTCTGGCTCTGAAAGCATCAGCTGAACCCCAAAGGCTCGCTCCTTCATAATGACCAAATTATGTTAACGTTTCAGTCAAGAATGACATCCTTCTCTCTCTTTCTGCCTTCCAGCAGCTCGTGTTCCTGTAGTACTGTACTTCATGGCGTTCCTGCAGAGGGCTGGAGATTACTGCCACGCACAACATTTCCAAATTTGAACCAGGGAAGGATGCCCTGCGCTGATCTCTGGATGCTGTGAGGCGCTACTATCTGTGATCCCAGCGCAACCAACGTGCACTCTCAGCAGCTAATGGGGTGATTCTTTTGGTATTCCTTGCAAAAGGAAGCCATCATAGAGGCTTGTTCGGCCAAAGGGATAGGACTCAAGGACGCTGAGTGTCCTTGTCTTCTTTTATTTTGATTTTAAAATAAAAAAGGACTGAAATACGCACCAGCAAAGGCGGACCCTGGTGGGGAGCTGGAGAGTCCATTTCATCACTTGCAGTGCTTAAAGTTTCTCCTGAAGTTTGGACTTTCGGAAGAGGCAGTATGGCCCGGATGAACAGGCCGGCTCCTGTAGAGGTTCGCTACAAGAACATGAGATTCCTGATCACTCACAATCCCACCAACTCCACCCTCAGCAGCTTCATAGAGGTAACAGCTTTCACTTTGGCTTTATTGCTTTCAGCCCATTCTCCTTCTCTTCCCATAATCCCGTTCTGTCTCACTCTTCTCTTTCGGCTGGGGCTTGGGAGGTACACCACTGTAAAATTGAACACCAGGGTGATGATGCACCATGATATGGAAATTACTGTATCATGGATAGCCCAAAAATGCTGGCCATGGCCCTGGTCAGAGACCATTCTTTCATTTATTTAATTTTCAGGAAAAACAGCCAAGTTATTCATTTTTCTTGGTCCGGAAAAAAGGCAGAAAACGGAATATATTTAACAGAATTTTACTCAGAAGGTTCAGCAAGTAAATGTAACTTTATTTTTCAGCATTCAGTCTGTCCACTCTTTACTTTTATTACAGCATCCATTCGTTTCAGGAGGCTCACTTTCAGTTTTTCAAAGAAATCTGCAGACACCCCTCCAAAGTTCAGTCTTAGAAGTTGGTTTTACATTTTCTGCTTAATCCAAATCTCAGATTTAGTTGTCAACTACGTTTTTTTTTTTTAGAAGTGCACTATGTAAGATTCCTTTTGGTGTAGTTTTAAGAAAACAGAGTAAAACAAGCTGTATCAGGTTTAAAAATGTTTGGTTCATTCACTGTAAATGGGGTTTGTTCATGCAACAAGCCACAACTAGTAAGAATCCACAACTGCAACTGGTGCCGAAGCGTAAATGACGTAAATATTTTCCAAATTCCAGTGTCTGATGGTTGGAGGGATGTGTGTCCCGTACACTCTACAACGGAAAAAAAGCTACCGAGCAAGAAGCCAGTTTTAGCCTGTAGAAATTCAAATGTGAAATTTTTGCTGGGTCTGCAACAAAACTGACATTTTTACTATTTTGCACAATAAAAATATTTCTGATTTTGGTTGTTGAAAATGGATCTTATTTAAAAGTGAAGGGGCATCCCAGAATAATAAGCTGCTGTTACAAAAATGTTTACTTAAGCACTTTAAATGGTTTTATTTAAAGAAAATAAATACTGTGATATATATACCGAAACTGAAATTTTAATTATGCCTTGATCTAAATTTTTGCCCATACTGCCCACTACTGCTTACACAACTGTTGAGATTGTTGGTGCAGATTACTTTGATGTGAAATAATCTTCCTTTATTGCTCCTGTTTTTTATTATTATTATTATTATTATTATTATTTTAACAAACAGAGTGGAGGGGTGTCATCTTTTGTCGCTTTCTGGACAATATTATGATAAATCACTGACCTCTACTTTCACGCTCTTTCAGTGCCCTCATCTTTCATTCTGCTTTAAATTAATCTCCGTTTTCATGTGTGTACACACACACACACACACACACACACACACACACACACACACACACACACGCGTACATATACACATAAACACACGCAGAAATATCCTTTGGCAGCGCATGTCGACTCGGTTCACATGCTCTATCTTAAGAAAACCGTCAGAGCCCACTCGTTCTTATCTGCCTGAGAAAGAGTGCACATAACGCTGCATCCACAAAGCCCCCGTTGCCACGGAAACCCGTCCCTGGACTGCTGTCACATGGCAGAGAAGATGGAGGCAGCGTGCGTTTGGGCTTCTGCCCCTGCTGACACATGGGCAGCGCATGCGGTATCGGAAAGGAACCGTCTTCAGGCCTGATGGGCTTCCCTTTCTCAGCCTGAAGCATCTTTCTCTCCGAATTACGTTGTTATATTACAGTATGATGTGACGTGCGGATCTTTACCGAACGTCTTTAATATAAATGAGCGTGTTTCCTTTGTCAGTTTGCAGTGACTAACAGAATCCTAATCAGGCTTATTTATTGGGGAACAGTATCACATGTAAATATTAGTGACAGTGCTGGGTTCGGATTGAAGCCGAGGATCACTCTTTTTATCTCGCTGTTGTCAGGACTCATCAGCACTCAAACCTTTTAGGTGTTTAAACCACATTTGGGGCCAAAAGAGCTTCAATATCTGCTTTTAACAACAGTTTTGACTTGGAATGTTTAATGTTTGACCTAGAGATGCACCGATACCACTTTTTCTCTTCCGATACCTGATCCTTTAGTATCGGCCGATACTGAGTACCGATACCGATACTAACTCTATCTAACCTAACTCATATATAAGTCCTGATATTTCTACAGTTACATTGTTAAAATATTTTATTTTTGTATCTACGATAGGCATCACAAGTAACACACAGCATGGCTAGATGGCATTTACTGGTTGGATTATATTTATTAGATGCTTAAGAAAACTTGTTTAGTTACTGTATGTATTTAGTATTTACTATTATATAATTAGAAGTAAGAAGCATGTATAACAACTTAAGTTAATGTAAAATATCTTAATTGTCCAGAACAGTTTAAAACAGAGCTGAACAGTAAACAGAGAAACCTGGGGTGTTTACACAGCAGCACACAGCAGCTTCTCTGGCTCGAAAACGGAGCTAAAAGTTGTTTCACATCCAAACTGCTCGAGTCGTTTGGCTCATATGTGCGTCTTGTTCACTCGTGCTGCGTTTCTGAGCGTCAGTTCAGTAAAAAATCGTCGTTCTTCAGTGTTTTTTCTGGCTTGGCTGAAGCGATGGGCCATGAGACCCCGCTGCTAAGTGATACAGCTGACCGATGGACGCGCACCGCAGGTGGGGCTGCTGGAGGCACAGGCCCGGCTAGCGGCTGCTATGCTAAAGGCTAAATTAGGGGCTAAATGCTTGCATTATGCCGAGAGTCCGGCGGTTCTTTCGGCTCTCTTAATAACATTAACTTGGACTGTAAGTGACCACACAGTGGCAGGCGAGCGATTACTGAGAGAAGCAGCTCAGCGGCTCCGTTAGCATGTTTTTAATGCCAAAAACTGCCGTTACAGATTCTGCCATGAGCGTTTTTACCACTGCTTGTCAGAAATTGCTGCGCAGTATCGGTCATACTTAAACGCAGTATCGGCATCGATACTGATACAGTATCGTTATCAGGGCCGATACTGATACAGTATCGTTATCAGGGCCGATACTGATACAGTGTCGTTATCAGGGCCGATACTGATACAGTATCGTTATCGGGGCAGCACTAGTTTGACCTAATAGCTGTTAACTTGCAAATACATAAATGTTCAATGCTTTCGGTCAAAAATGTAATTTTTTGTCTGATAAACAGTTGATTTTTAAACAGGTGTTTGTTTTCGTTCCATTCTGGGTTTCCTGGAGTCAAGTTTGACTCTCGATTTCCGCTGCTGGGATAAATAGGCTTTAAGGGGAAGTCCACCAAATTTTCAAAATATCTGAATAATTCAAAGTTTCCGAATCGATATGTACTGAGATATATCTTTTACACCATATCTTTTCTGATATTTTTTTTGACAACACCAGTGTACGTGTAGAACATAGCCATGAGCCTTTACATTCGGATGTATGCATTTAAGTCTGATTTTCTCCTTTGCTCCTTTTCATTCTATCGTAGGACCTTAAGAAGTACGGAGCCACAACGGTGGTGCGCGTATGTGAGGTGACCTATGATAAAACCTCGCTGGAGAAGGCTGGCATCACTGTGGTGGTGAGTATGTGCTGTCACACTATTCACACCTCTCTCCACCAGAGAGAGATGGGAACAGAGAGTCCACAATGAGCTCTGCAACTGTTATCAAACAGGCACAGACCTCACGTACCCCGTGTTTTACGTACACGCGCTGTCTTTGTAATACAGGGCTGTTCTCCTTCAAGCTTCTACACGTGTTTCTTATTACTAACGTCAACGTTTCTCTGTTGCCATGGAAGCAGCATTGCCTGGTCCGTCCGTGTGGCCTCCACTTCAGCAGCCCCCTCCTCCGTCCCTTTTTTTTTCTTGTTCTTCTTTTCTCTGACTTTCTCACAGTGGGGCTGTGCAGAAAAGAGAGATTGAAGACAGGCTGTTGCACAAGTCCAGACTTTGCTGCCTTCTGTGAAGCTGAAGGACACATGGACGGTGCTGTAACGTACCACCGTCCCTCTTTCCTCTCCTTAGGATAGATGTAAAGCACCCAGTCAAAATCAGTATCTGTATATTTATTTAATACGTTTGGCCACAAATCTAAGTTACATAATTGACTACATTCGGGGGGAGGTGGAAAATCAGCCAAGACACGTTGGTGTCTGAAGATTGCTTCTTTAGATTTAGCCTTGGAGCTCTGAGGGTTTTCACTCCACCAAAGCAGGAGCTCACACGTTTGGTTGTTTTTCTCAAAGCTTGTCGGGTTGTTAAGTCATTTCTAATACACCAATCAGGCATAACATTATGCATTGTTTTGTCCAGTACGGGTTTGTGCACATGTGGCTGAGTCCCAAAGAACTGTTTGTTAGATATATTATGTACTGTTTAGGCACAGGAGCCTGTATTTCAGTTTCTACATAGTGCACTAAGTAGGGAGCAGGGAGCCATTTGAGATGCATCCCCAAAGTGGGAAAAGGGACATACTGGCTTGGTGCTAAATAAGACTGGAAATCGCTTCTTGTTTCTGCATTAAACACTGTTATATTCTGGTATGTTCATAATTACACCAATCAGGCATAACATGATGACCACCTCCTTGTTTCTACGCTCATTGTCCATTTGATCAGCTCCACTTACTATATAGGTGCACTTTGTAGTTCTACAGTTACAGACTGTAGTCCATCTGTTTCTCTGCATACTTTGTTAGCCCCCTTTTACCCTGTTCTTCAGTGGTCCGGACCCCCATGGACCCTCACAGAGCAGGTACTATTTGGGTGGTGGATCATTCTCAGCACTGCAGTAACACTGACGTGGTGGTGGTGGTGTGTTAGTGTGTGTTGTGCTGGTGCGAGTGGATCAGACACAGCAGTGCTGTATTAGCAGGAATGTTAGTTAGCAAATGCATAAAACAACCTCAAGCTAAATTTAAAAGCTGATGGAGGCTTAAGTTATTTGGTAAATGAGCGATTCATAATCCGAATAATAATTATTTGTTTCGTAAAAGACTCACAGCTAGTGATGCACCAGTACCACTTTTTCCCTTCAGAAACCAAAACCTGATCCTGAAATATCTGCTGATACTGAGTGCCTGATCCGGACCCTGTGAATGGCACTTATTGATTGGATAACTTCACATTTGAATGTTTTCAGAGCTGTGAAAATCTGCTGTGCTTTTTAGAATGGTAGACATTTAATAGCTTAATTAAGGGTGATGTATTAAAATCATTTGCTGGTCACTTGAAATGCTGCTCCGACAGGTTTTGCATATTTTTAGTGCTGCTTGTCTCAAGCGTGAAATAATCTCACCCTGCCGCCATGTTGGTTGCTTCAGTTAAGTTCCATCTGCCGGCATGCAAGCATCAGCAGTTGCTTCCTGTTATTGGCGTTCTCTGCAATGCAGTATTTAAGAGGCACTATCAGGGCTGATACAAATATGGTATCGGTGAAACTAAATAGCTAAATCTGTTCTAAAACTATAGCTAAATTGTTTGAAAATTACCCAGCAGTTACCATAATTAATACTAAATGCACAACAGTGCTGTGTGACGTCAACATCTTCAAAAAATCCATCCATCACAGTTTTTAAATCTCCATCTAAAGCTCCATTTTCAGTGACCCAAAACACTGTTTTTGTGCAGGCGGGAGGCCAAAACTTTAAAATATCTGTTTCCGTGGCGACGAGCAGGTCTAGGTGCATTAGCACACAACCAGTAAGTACAGTACTAGAATAAGTATAGCTTAGCTCTGCCGTTTACATGGAAACACGGCTCATTTCTTCAACCAGCGCCGTTTATTTTACTAAACCAAAACAGAGCTTGAAGAAGCAGATCACTGTTTTTAGCCTTTGACTACAGTTTTACTGCGGTTTACTCACCTTGCTGAGCTCTCGGCATTTTCTACCGCCAATGTGTTTCTCTGGATCCTCACACATGACAGTTGCGCTGCTGTCAAAGGTGAGTGCAGTTTTACACAGCTTACAGGAAATGGTCATTTTTGATGATGTAAAGGTGGGGTGTTCGGTATTTTATAGTATATAGTCTTACCTTTCGCAGCACTCGGAGTACATATTTAGAGAGAAAGGTCAACGGTGACCATGTTCTTGATGGTCACGTACTGCTACTCGCCAAGCACAGCTCAGCTAAGTTCAGTGGAGCAAGCTAATACTGCTTACATGTTGCCATTGGAAAGAAACATAAAATAAGAGGACCTCGGCAACGGCAGCATGCAGCTCTGCCAGGGCGTATACTGAAAACTGTAAGGTGATCTAAGGAGAGCTTTATTTAATTAAGGTAGAAAAATATCTTAAAGATGAACAGGCTTTACGGCGTTGCCCATTACCACCTTACAATTCATAGCATTTTCTGGGGAGACATTAAAATTTAAGCTACCAAAGATTTTGGTCAAAAATAGTTCTTTTGGTTTGCGGCCAAAAGAGAAAAACAGCAAGAAATTTTGATCAAATTGTAAGTAGATCTGTAGCAAAGAGTCAAAAAGACTTTACAAATGGTTTTGATGGTAATGAAAATGAGAACTTAAGCTGCTGTGTGTAAGACTGTTTTGTCAAAACTGAAATAATTGTCATTACTGAGTCAGGAGAACGGAAACGAGCTAAAATATGGTGAGTGTGTGCTGCTGTTAGCCGCAGTGTAAAGCCTGAAATCATTTAAGAATCAGAGTCGTCGAGTTGGGAGTTTTTTGGGTCCACGTCGTTACATATTAATGGCACAAAAAGGAGGTCCAGCTTGATGTTTAGGTCTCAAATGCAAAGTCAGCATTATACTGATGAAGATCTGATGATGACGGTAGATAATAAGATGTGTCCTTCATCAAATTTTGACCGAGTTCTCTTTAAATTCTCTTTCGTTCATCAGACTCATCCGCTCGGGGAACGGGGCCGAAGCACAACCCATGCTATGAAATGTTCTTCCACATATTGTGTGCAGTTACACATTTCCGCCAGAGAGGTCTCCAAATCCACCAAACTTACATAGTGCGGCTTTAATTAAAAGTGTTGTTTATTCCTTTTACTCTTTAATATTGAGTGGCAGCAGATCAGCAGTGAAAATGCCGACCCTGGGGAACTTTTTCACCGTTTATACAAGGAACACAGGAGATTTATGATCTGTCTTTATTGCCGGTTGTTAAGAGCTACAACAGCCAAGAACTCCATTACAGGTTTGATTTCACTTATAACATGTTGTGGAATGCACAGAACACAGCAGCACAGTTTGCTCTGTTTTATGTGTTTATTTTATGTAATATTTTTAGGTTTTATGTTTGTTTCTTGTTTTCCTCAAGTTGGGTTTCACTTTGGGCCAAGGGTTTTCGTTTTGGTGCATCACCCCCCCATAGCTACACCTCTGTGATATACTGTTGTCTATGAAAATGGACACAAGTATGTAGCATAGTAGCTGCCTTGAAATGTTGTGTTCACTGTAGAAAGGGGTCTTGAATTGGTTTTGTGTGGGGGTGGGGTTCTGTTTATTGTTGTATGTGTGAGACACGTGAGCATGTTTTCGGGGCACATTGTCATCTAGACTGTATGTGTACCTGTCTCCACTGAGAGCTAGCACTCCTGAGACAGGAGCAGTTCAGCACATCGGTTGCTGGTGAACGCAGCCCTCATGGGGACAATCAGCAGCGCTTGGTGCGTGCGTGTGTTTAGGGAGCAAATGTAGAGAGGATTGCGTCTGTTCTTTAGAGCTGAATACCTGTCTGATTTAATGAGCTGCTTGATCGCACTGTGCTTCATTCAGAGCCTTTAATAACCCTGATTATGTGCTTGCTTTCTTTGTTTTTCTGTATGAAAAGAGATCTCCCTATCTCTACTCCCTAATTCACAAAGTAGGGCACAGCCTACTTTGAGCGTTACATCACTGGAGCTTCCATTTTGCCGTTTCCACTCAGTGCATTGTTTTGTCCAGTACGGGTTTGTGCACATGTGGCTGAGTCCCAAAGAACTGTTTGTTAGATATATTATGTACTGTTTAGGCACAGGAGCCTGTATTTCAATTTCTACATAGTGCACTAAGTAGGGAGCAGGGAGCCATTTGAGATGCATCCCCAAAGTGGGAAAAGGGACATACTGGCTTGGTGCTAAATAAGACTGGAAATCGCTTCTTGTTTCTGCATTAAACACTGTTATATTCTGGTATGTTCATAATTACACCGATCAGGCATAACATTCTGACCACCTCCTTGTTTCTACGCTCATTGTCCATTTTATCAGCTCCACTTACTATATAGGTGCACTTTGTAGTTCTACAGTTACAGACTGTAGTCCATCTGTTTCTCTGATACTTTGTTAGCCCCCTTTTACCCTGTTCTTCAGTGGGCAGGGCCCCCATGGACCCTCACAGAGCAGGTACTATTTGGGTGGTGGGTCATTCTCAGCACTGCAGTAACACTGACATGGTGGTGGTGTGTTAGTGTGTGTTGTGCTGGTCTGAGTGGATCAGACACAGCAGTGCTGCTGGAGTTTTTGGTGAAATAATTATCTCCATTTTTGTTGTTTTTTAGTTTATAATTTTGAAAATACCTGTTAATCTTTACATTGTGTGTAAATTTCATGATGAATGGACCAAAAGAAACGGCCCAAAATGACTTGGGGAAAATTCTGGTTCCATTGACTTACATTGAAAATAAAGTAGGTTTTTTGCTTCTCCTGTAAAGTTACCATTTTGGAGATACGAGATTTTCTTCTGGCAACATCGATTTGTTTCTTGATTATTATTATTAACAATAACTTATGCTTTGATTAGAAAAAAATTCTATTTTATCATTTTTACCTTCACTGTTTTATAAAAGCAGTTAGCCACTTAAGGTCGTACGTTACAGTGATGTTATTACGAGTCAGGGGAGTTTAAGGTACTAAAGCTTATTGCTTAAGTAGCCCTATAGAAATACATGTTACAGTTCTCTGTACCTCTGAGTAGCTGTAGTCAGTTTCTGCATTGTATACATGTTTATGTATCAACCTCAGCAGACATGAAAATATTAGATATCATCTATTCCCCTATGTGCATCTATTTTTCTCCTTTTCTCCCAGCCTTCGTCCTGAAGAGGTGTCACTCTGACTCCTGCTGTTGCCGAATGCTGTGTCCTGAGGGCTTTGTGTGGGTGTGGTGTTGAACACTTGTGTTTTTTCTTTCACTCATCGGTGCAGTGATAGAAGCGCCGTGCTCAGGCTTTTGGCCTGTAACTGGAATGCCTGCTTATCTGTTTCTGTCCTGTGAGTAAGCCCTGTAATCAGAGCTGTGCCTCTGCCCAGGCTTTCTGTGTCATATCTCTGCGTGCCTACGTGGACGTGCTGCTCTGTGTGTCAGTCCACACCTGCCACGTTGTCTGTGGCAGCTGGGCTACATCAAAGCCCCCACGTGCTGTTCTGATGGAAGTGAGCAGAATAGATGGCCCAGTTTTCCCCAGGCTGTTGTGAAGTGACCCCTCTCCTCGTCTTTAGGTCACAGAAGCACACGGGCACACCCCCAAACACAGGCAGTACACACTGTCGTCTAGGCCTGTGTTATTAAACATCAAATAAACAGACGTTACTCACTGCTGCCCTCTAAAGGTGTTGTTAACAAACATCAAATAAACAAACATTACTCACTGTCGCCCTCTAAAGGTGTTATTAAACATCAAATAAACAGACGTTACTCACCGTCGCCCTCTAAAGGTGTTATTAAACATCAAATAAACAGACGTTACTCACCGTCGCCCTCTAAAGGTGTAAACATCAAATAAACAGACGTTACTCACTGTCGCCCTCTAAAGGTGTTATTAACAAACATCAAATAAACAGACGTTACTCACTGTCGCCCTCTAAAGGTGTTATTAAACATCAAATAAACAGACGTTACTCACCGTCGCCCTCTAAAGGTGTTATTAAACATCAAATAAACAGACGTTACTCACCGTCGCCCTCTAAAGGTGTTATTAAACATCAAATAAACAGACGTTACTCACTGTCGCCCTCTAAAGGTGTTATTAACAAACATCAAATAAACAGACATTACTCACTGTCGCCCTCTAAAGGTGTTATTAACAAACATCAAATAAACAGACGTTACTCACCGTCGCCCTCTAAGGGTGTTATTAACAAACATCAAATAAACAGACGTTACTCACTGTCGCCCTCTAAAGGTGTTATTAACAAACATCAAATAAACAGACATTACTCACCGTTGCCCTCTAAAGGTGTAAACATCAAATAAACAAAAATGACTCACCGACGCCCTCTAAAGGTGTAAACATCAAATAAACATTACTCACTGTCGCCCTCTAAAGGTGTAAACAAACATCAAATAAACAAACAGCATATAATCATTACTTACCGTTGCCCTCTAAAGGAGTTAACAAACGTCAAATAAACAAACATTACTTGTAATTGTCCTCTAAAGGTGTAAACAAACATCAAATAAACAAACGTTACCTGCTGCTGTCCTCTAAAGGTGTTATTAAACATCAGATAAACATTACTGTCGACCTCTAAAGGTGTAAACGAACATCAAATAAACAAGTCACTCACTGCTGCCCTCTAAAGTCATTATTTACAAACATCAAATAAACCGATGTTACTCGCTGTCGCCCTCTAAAGGTGTTAACAGTTGATATGGTTATTAATGTTTTCGATTTCATTGTACATCCCTTGTGTTGATGTTCAAATTTGTTGATTTTCAAAATGAAAAATCTGTTTTCCCACCTAAAACGTGTGAAGCATATCACCACAGTTACCCCTAAGCTGACCACAGTGTCCCTCCACAGGACTGGCAGTTTGATGACGGCGCTCCTCCCCCGTCTAAGGTGGTGGACGACTGGCTGAGCCTGCTGAGAAGACGCTTCATGGAAGAGCCCGGCTGCTGCGTGGCGGTGCACTGCGTGGCCGGCCTCGGGAGGTCAGTCAGCGTGGTTTAGTTTGTTTGTGGTTTATTGGATATTATTTCATCCTTTTATGTAAGGAAGGAGTGCAAATCCTTCAGTTAAGATTCTTTATGAAACAGTTCAGTTCATCATGATTTCACCACAGTTTAATTCAGATATTTTTACTTTAGAAAAAAAGTTCAACAGTTTTATTTTGGCCAAACAATAAGTGCATAATAATGGAATATTATGGTAGTGCTTTGCTTGAACCCTACTAGATAACACTGACATTACCATGCCATAAGCTTGTCATGGCAGGGCTCATACGCAATCTGAGTATGAGCTTTGTTCAGTAATATAACAGTGTCATGCTCCCATTACTGGTAATTGTCATGACAGAGGCCATAGTTTATTATTGTTTTATGTCATGACAGCTTATGTCATGCTAATGTTTTGCTGTGTACTCTAGTAGCCATCCTGACATCAAACATAACATCTGTCATCACAATTGCTAGTGTTGGTAACATGACTCTGCTGTATTACTGAGAAAAAATCAATGCTTAAGTGCAAATACCAGCATAATTATACACGACTCATTGGGCTAAACCGCCAGATGACTCTTACTTTCAATGTAACACTTTTGGATTTGATTTTTGTTTTTATCTAGGCAACAGATAAAGAATTAAAACCACACAAATGTCACAAGTGGAGTTCAGGAGGAAAGAAAATAAAATGCAAGGAAAATGTAAGATAGCGTTAATATGAAGAGGACATAACTTAAGCAATCACTAAAAATAAAAACAGAAGAGAGCTGTAAGGTCTAGTTCAGATAAATCCACAGAAATGGAGCTACAGAAGATGCTGGCTACCTGCCAGTATGGCTTGGCCGTGCTGACCGTGTGAATATCGATATGTGAGATGTGCTTTAGAGGGCTCTGGGTTCATACATATACACCTGCCTGGTGCCCCATAAGCAACGGCCTCCCTTCTGCTGCGCCTGGAAGCTTAAGCTGTAGAGGAATGTGAACTGTGTGCACTATAGAACATAAACCTCTTTTCTCCCAGGAGGCTGATTTTCTCTAGTGACCGTGGCCAATGTAGATGAGTCTCCTTGGCCTCGTACCATGTGTCCCAGCAGGCAGTGGGAGATGCCCATTTGAAGCCCTGACAGTGCACCGAAAGCTGGGCCAAAGTCAGCAGCTCCCACAGCGCAGTTGCTCAGCTGTGATGCTGCTGCAGTGTTATTAGAGGCACTGGGGTGAGGGCCGAAGACAAAACAGGAAGTAGCTTTTTTATGAGCGTTTGTGTTTACTGTCCCTCTCCAGCGCGCGCTTTCCATGACCTTCGACGCGAGGCTAAGGTCTGGCCCGCATCCGGGGTGGGTTTAAGGGGCTTTCTCTGAATCTGGTCTTCCCCATGGTTTTGTTCTTTATCGCCCTGTCTGACGACATCAAATCCTGTCGCCTCCAGCGCTGGAGTGGGGGACCAGGAGTTACATGATGCAGACCACCCCACCCAAAATCTACACAGACGCACACAGACACACACAGACATAGCATTTCCTCAGCTCAGTAATAACTTCATTTCTTACACTATTATAATAATAATAATAATAATAATAATTAATATTAGTATCATTGTGTAATTACGCTACATTGAGAACCAAGGTGGATCACTAGTGATAAAATAAAAACTGGTGAAATCTTGCATGAGACATAATCATAACAGTCAAGTTAAGGTCAGCATTTCTCACTTCCCAGCTGCTCAGATATGTCCTCATCCTCCTTAAGTTTCTTCTTCATTCTTGTCTTCTCAATGCCACCTAGAGGTGGACCATATAATAACAATAATAACAAATAATATTACAATACTGAAAGTTTTTTTTTTTTACGATATATGATATGAAGTAGACCCACATTAAAAAAAAATCACCATGGATACAATAACGTCACATGCTGTGCTGCACTAAATCCAATAAAGCAGGATTAATTATGCTCTTTGTGATCATGCAGTTTTTAAATACTGATATAATCTATGCTCTGAAAAGCATTGTGATATGACATAATTATAAGTCATTTCCCAGCTGTAGTGCCAGCTTGTTTTTTTGCAGTTCTTGTTCCAGATTCTGAATTTGATACGCTGATCTCTCGAGACTTCAAATTTCCGTTCCACCTTTTAGCGTAGCAGTTACATGCTAACACTTGTACAGGCGAGTACTGGCTCTGTGTGATGTCTTTAATGCTTGGTTGTGAATTTCCAGTATGTAGATTGGCTGAGCAGCTCCACAGTGCAGATGCTGTGTATGAACAGTCATCGTATGTGAGCTGTAGCAGTCAATGCTGCGTCACTCATGTCACGTAGAGGTTGTCAGTGTAGGGAAAAATGGACTGTGTGGTTCGTGGGATGGAGTGATTTCAGAGCAAGAGACAACACTGACGCTCCAACTTTCTGAAAAGCTGGCTCTTTTACTGCCCTGTTGTGGCTCCACAGCAGAATTAGGTTTGTAGGTAATAATAAAATAATCCTCCTTTACAGTAAAATAAAGCTCTGCTGATCGTTCAACACAGTTTAACAATAAATGGTCTTAAACTCTGGAGTTAATGTAGAACTGCTAATTCACCCTTTAACCCTGAAGATTAGCGCAGACTGCTGGTCACCATAGCAACGCAGGTAACAATCTCGCCTAGCTAGCAGCTAACGAAACAGCAAAGAGAAAGATTTAAGACGAACATCGATAATTTGGAGATGAATGGACCGATTTGTGTTTATATTAACTCCAGCTGGTTTCCTGATACGTTTAATCTGCAACGAGAAACTGACAAACACTAAAAAGTCGTGAGGCTGAAGTCAGATTCTTGTTCGCCAGCTTCTCATTCGAATTTTCCCGTTCCACTTTAAATGGTGCAGCACTTACATTCTAGCGCCTCAGGCATCATTTAAGGTGGAATGGGAAAATTCGAACAAGAAGCTGGTGAATGAGGAGCGACTTCAGCCTCGTAAAAAGACGAACGTTAAGAGAAATTTCACAAGAAACTATTCCGCTTTTGTGGAAACGTTTCCTGCCGGAGATACGAGAAAAGCAGCTATAGCTGAGCTAAAACTTAAAGCAGAGTAAGTCTACGTTTTATATTATATCATTTTTATCCTATACTAGGACATTAGCACATACTGAGTCATATTTACAGCCAAGATGGTAAAATGGACATGAAATGATGTGGCTCACCAGGTGGTTTGATTTTTGTTAAAAGGACAAAATGGTTTTTTCTAACATTTGGGTTGCCGACCGCTGGACTAGACTTGGTTACAGTCAGCAAAGCTCACAGTAACCAGCCCAAAGCCTACCAGCCCACTGGGAATTCTACCCTTTCCAGTACTGGTTTCCTCTAAGTTAATCTGGGCAACACTGATGGCATCAGGTGTTGTTTCTGGCCATGTATTGACTCCTCTTAAAATGTAGTCTTTTGGACCTTTTTTCAAAGCAAAATTCATTATTTATAGTTCCTTGTCATTTTAAGCACTATCCATTGTGTCATATCATTCAAAAGACAAAAATCCTGTTTGTCTATAATCTCTAATCGAAGGGTAGTGACACTTGTCCGCCGTTTGGTTACATCATTGGCAAAAGTCATATGACCAGTAATTTTCTACCGTGGTTTTTTTCTCCACCTCCCTCCACCTCCACCTGTTATCAAGCGAAACCACCCATCCTCACGTCCATTCCCGGCTGCACTTACCAGCTCAAATAAATGTCAGTCATATGCAAAAGTCTGAACACCCCTGGTCAAATGACACGCTTTGTTGATTTTTCTAACTGAAAATAAGTTAACACATCGTCTACAGAGCTGTTAAACTCAGATAAACAGTAATTGTGGGTTAAAGTGTGCAGAAGTGTCTCTGTAGAGGATGTGTTCACTTATTTTCACTTAAAATCAACTAAACAGGTCAGTTGACCGAGGTGCCCAAAACTTTTGCACATACGTCTGTTACATTAGCCTCGTATCCCTTCTCCAAAACCCAAGAAGCAAGCGTTTAACGCCAAACATGTCTTGGGTAATCCGCTATATTCAGTGAACATTCCGGTAAGTCTTAAGTTCACACAATTCACCCCCTTTACAGCTTTCCAGGCTCATAAACTTCTCTTGCTTTCAAATCCCTGAAAGTATCAACAGAAATAGCAAAGAACATGGTTTCCACCAAGTGCTAGACGTTTCGCTCCAAGCGTGTTTATATATGGAGCGAAGGCAGCGCCTGTATTTAGAGATCTTTATAGGTAATGCGTTTGTGCTTTTCTGTTGGCACGGATACGCAGACACATCCGAAACAAAAGACAGATCTGCTGTTAAGGAGGGAGTGACGCGAGGGTGGGCGGAGGACTAGCCGTACTCTTCTCGTCTGCGGGGCGGTAAAATCCCGTCTCTGACGTACTTCTTTTCCTCCCGCAGGGAATCGGCCTCGACTCTTGAAAGAGCGCCAATGTTTTCTTGGCTCGGCTTTATTTTCATCCAATTCAGACGGCAAACACTTTCTTCAGCACTTGAGAAGGGCGCGGGGGCCTTACTGCGTGATGAACTGTATATGTTAGACAGGGAAGTTTGGTTAGTGGGGGAAAATTACTGTTTTGAAATCTTCTCAGAAGCCCAACCTCACTGCAATTCTTAGAAAGCTGTCCCTTGTCTCCATCTTAAGAGCATTGGAAAGCTAAACATATGATTTAATGTCCTCTCTGTGACCCCTTAGCTCCACTTCGTGTAGAAGGATGAGGGACGTAAGGTCCTGTTACTTAATCAGCAATGTTTTAAAGCTACAGCCATGTACTTGTACTTCTCCCAAGCACCAGTCCTGTGAATCAGGTCATTTATTTGATACCACATAATGTGTGTTGTGTATTTGGGATGTGCATTTCAGTCAAATTTGACGTTTTAAGACATTTAAGGCATCATTAGTATTTATGTAACACCACCACCCTCCCAAACAAAGGAATCTTAAAGGTACACGCTACTGCCAACCGGACGCTTTCGGAGATAGTGACCATAGACCAGGGGTCGGCAACCCAAATGTTAAGAAGAGCCATTTTGTCCTTTCAACAAAAATCAAACCAACTTGGGAGCCACAACACTTTTACGTCCATTTTACTGAAGATACATTTTACCATTTTGGCTGTAAATATGTCTCAGTATGTCTTAGTATAGACTAAAAATATAAAGACTCACTTTGCTCTGCTTTAAGCTTTAGCTCAGCTATAGCCAATTTTCTCACTTCTCTGGCAGGAGACTTTTCTGCAAAAGTAGAATATTTTCTCTCAACGTTCTACTTTTTATGAGGCTGAAGTCGCTCCTCATTCACCAGCTTCTTGTTCGAATTTTCCCGTTCCACCTTAAATGGTGCCTGAGGTGAGAATGTAACCGCTGCACCACTTTAAGGTGGAATGGGAGAATTCAAATGAGAGGCTGGCTGTCAAGAAGCTGCCCTCATCTGGACTTTTTAGTGTTTGACAGCTTCTTGTTGCAGATTAAACGTAGCAGGAAACCAGCTGGAGTGATTATAAATGCAGATAAGTCAGCTCATCTCCGAATTATCGATGTTCGTCTTAAATCTCTCTCTTTGCCGTTTTGTTAGCTTCAAGCTAGGTGAGATTGTCTGCGTTGCTGTGGTGACCAGCTGCGCGCCAACCTTCAGAGTCAAAAGTTAGTGAATTAGCGGTTGTAGGCTACATTAACACCAGCATTTAAGATCATTTATTGTTAAACTGTGTTGAACGATCAGCAGAGCTTTATTTTACTGTAAAGGAGGATTATTTTATTTAAATTTTATCTAATCTAATTCTGCTGTGGAGCCACAACAGGGCAGTAATGTCGTAGACAGTGACATCACTCAGCATCTCGGTTATTGTACTGTATTAAACCCAGACCACAAATCCATAGTAGGTGACATGGCTTGAAATTGACACCAAGAAATGTATCCATCTAACGTCTAAAGTCAAGATAAACAGACAGATGTCTGTTTTCACCTCAGTTAGTAATACTAGCTCAGTCTCATTGTATTTCCTCTCGTACCTTCTGTCGAGCTCGTGAAGAGTTTAACTAATACCAAATGTGATAAATTCACTAAATGATGTTGAACGTTTTAATAGGGTGTAAAAAGATCTTGAGGTTGTTTATCTGAGCTTTTCTGTGATGCTTCCTATGTGCTACTGCTGCACTCTGTACTTTGTTACCCGGCGCCAGAGACCCTCTGTCAGCACAACGCAGGGCTTCTCGTTCGGTGTGCTTGTAGCCTTTAGCCAGCTGCGGTGGTCTTTCTATGCTTCTTTCTTTGGCTCTTCACTGCCCTCTGGTGAAGTATAGAGTCCAGATATCTCATTGTTCTTATGAGAATGTAAAATGTTAGAGAGAAGCTCATTTGCCAATCAAAAATAGCTCAGTCTTCTCCATGTATTTGAAAATTTTGACTTATCCCTAATGTGTAGACAAATCACTCTCACTTTCCCTCTTCCTCATTCGTTCACTCAAGCATAGCTGTCGGTTTGTCCTCGACTCAATTGATATGAAAATTTTGTGACTGACTTTGAGGGTCCTGTTAAAAAAAAATAGACTTAATCACATTGATTTAGTGTCTTTTAAATGCTTAGTATAAACACAACTAGACTCAAAATATACATACATATAGGACCACAGTATGCAACCTAATAGAAAGCTAAATAAAGAATATATATTTTGTAAATACACTGATTTAGGCATAACATTCTGACCACCTCCTTGTTTCTACGCTCATTGTCCATTTTATCAGCTCCACTTACTGTATAGGTGCACTTTGTAGTTCTACAGTTACAGACTGTGGTCCATCTGTTTCTCTGCATACTTTGTTAGCCCCCTTTTACCCTGTTCTTCAGTGGTCAGGACCCCCATGGACCCTCACAGAGCAGGTACTATTTGGGTGGTGGGTCATTCTCAGCACTGCAGTAACACTGACGTGGTGGTGGTGTGTTAGTGTGTGTTGCGCCGATCTGAGTGGATCGGATACAGCAGTGCTGCTGGAGTTTTTAAACACCTCAGTGTCACTGCTGGACTGAGAATAGTCCACCAACCAAAAATATCCAGCCAACAGCGTCCTGAGGGCAGCATCCTGGGACCACTGATAAAGGACTAGAGGGTGACCAACACAAACTGTGCAGCAGCAGATGAGCTATCGTCTCTGACTTTACATCTACAAGGTGGACCAACAAGGTAACAGAGTGGACAGTGGACAGTAAGTGGACACAGTGTTTAAAAACTCCAGCAGCACTGCTGTGTCTGATCCACACAACACACACTAACACACCACCACCACGTCAGTGTTACTGCAATGCTGAGAATGATCCACCACCCAAATAGTACCTGCTCTGTGAGGGTCCATGGGGGTCCTGACCACTGAAGAACAGGGTAAAAGGGGGCTAACAAAGTATGCAGAGAAACAGATGGACTACAGTCTGTAACTGTAGAACTACAAAGTGCTCCTATAAAGTAAGTGGAGCTGATAAAATGGACAATGAGTGTAGAAACAAGGAGGTGGTCAGAATGTTATGCCTGATTGGTGTATATTATAATATATATATGCCTAAATAAAGAAGACAAAAGCATTGTTTACATTTTTTGCCATTAGTATGAGTCTGAGAGTGTATGATTAAATATGAGTCAGTAAAATCTGATCCTTGGCAAAATAGCTAACTTACAAGCTCACCAACATCACGGTCAAATTTAGAAGCTGTAATAAAGGTAAGAGGTGGACGCACAGGTGACTAGAAATGGAATAAATAAAGGGTGGTCTCTGACTTGCGCACAGTACTGTATGTTGGTCAGCAAACTGGACGTGTTGAGAGAGAGTTCAGAGTGTGTGCTTTTCCCCCTACAGGGCTCCGGTGTTGGTGGCTTTGGCTCTGATTGAGAGTGGGATGAAGTATGAAGACGCCATCCAGTTCATCAGACAGTACGTGCTGCTCCTTCTCTCCATTGTCTCACGCAGGCAGCACTCGAGGCCTGGTTGTAACCGCACCTCACATGTTTACACTCAAATCAGCATCAGGTGGATTTAAATGCACTCTCAGTTGGATCATGTCTCTTTTCAGTTGCAGAGCTAGGTGACCCTGTGCTGTCCAGTGGTACATGAGACTAAAATTAGATCAGGGGCACCCTGTTGAGCAGTCTGGATGCATGTAGTGGAAAAAGAAGCCTTTGTTTTGGCTCCTTTTAAACACAGATTTTCAAAAATTCCACTTTTCTGTTTATCCAGCCTGTGAGGCAGCCTCATACAGCCCATCACATACTGACAATTTATCCTTCAATCCAGCCAAATCTTTCCTCCACCACAGCTAAATGTTTCCATCTGACGGGTAGATTTGCTTCACTCACCAAACACCCTGACGGGTTATCTAACATGAACTATATAAAATTAGCGAATTATGATTTTAAAAGGAAAAAAACAGCAAGAGGAACCGTTCAGACCTACACTGAGTGGTATGGCTGTATGTAAGGTATAACTAACTTTACTCATGTTCTCCAGGATCGCCAGGTCTTTCACAATAAGAGTCCCATATAAGTACCGTTAAATCTAAGTTTACTTAAAATACACAATGTAGTTATACTTCTACTACTAATAATGCTTTATGGTTACAGGCAAGCTGCTAATAAGCATCGACTGAAATGCACTCAAGGGCTTTAACATAAACTTTATTAATAATTCTTCTTTTCCTTCTTTATTGTCTGTTAAACTCTTTTATTATTATTATTATTATTATCATTATTTATAGTTTTTTTAGTTTTCAGTATTTTTAGTAGTAGTAGTTCTGTTTACAGACAAGTTGCTAATAAGCATAGACTAAAATGCACTCAAGGGTTTTAACATAAACTTACTAATTTTTCTTCTTTATTGTCTCAGTGAAACCCTTTGTTAATAAATAGAATTATTATTATTACTAATCATTATTATTTTTCAGTTTTTAGTATTTTTAGTAGTGGTTTGTGTTCAAATTGCTAATAAGCATCGACTAAAATGCACTCAAAGGCTTTAACTTAAATAATTCTTCTTTTCCCTCTTTATTGTCTCTTTTAAACTTGGTTTATAATTAGAATTATTATTATTATTTTTCAGTTTTTAGTGTTTTTAGTAGTGGTTTGTGGTTATAGACAAATTGCTAATAAGCATTGACGACTTATGACTTGTTATGATTATTGACTTAGAATGTGCTTAAATTAGTGCGTGCGTTTTTATATTTTTGATCAAATGATCCATAACAAACTTGATGTAGGTCAAATTGATTCACTCTTTTCCTGAAAAGAAAACATGTGACTCCTCCTCCACCTACATTTTTTCAACCAGGCCCTTACTTTGATACTGACACTAGAAAAACATTTTCTTGGTGAAACTGCGACTGTTTTTGCTACCAGATGTGCTGATTGGTCTCGTTCACGGTTTCACAGGAAGCGACGGGGGGCGATAAACAGCAAACAGCTGACCTACCTGGAGAAGTACCGGCCCAAACAGAGACTGCGCTACAAGCACCCGCACATCTTCAAGAACAAGTGCTGCATGATGTGAATCTTGATGTCGAGCGACCTCTGCCTTTCGGACCTGAACTGATCTGGACGTCTCGGACTGCGCCACTGCGGATGTGCCGTTAAAGCAGGACCTGATTTGATATATGGTGTGGTTAAATCCCAGCTGGTGCCTAATACTTATCACTCCCACCGTGGAGTAAACACTGCCACGCCCTTCTGAGATCCCCAGAGGGCTCAGTGCCTCACCAGCACCAAAGGTATCCTTTCCTCCCGTAAGATGCACCAGGAGACCCAAAAATAATGCCTCAAATTTATCGTTGTGGGCCAGACTGAGCCAGCTGATGTGAACCGGGTGGAAATTGTGGAAAATTGTGTGTGTATATATATTTTTCCTGCTTTATCGTTCTTTCTTTCTTTCTCCATGTCTCTTACTCCATCTGGAGACTCAGGTCCTGATGTTTCGGCCACGGCTCCTCTCGGCCTGTTATCCTTCTCGGACACTGTTGCTTACTGTAGGCTTTTCCCGTGCAGTGGTAGAACTGGACTGAGAGGAGCTGAAGAAGGGCTCATATTTCTTTGGACATGAAAATGTTTGCAACTGCTAAGTGAAAGCCAAGGCCCTCAAACTTAACGGTCTATGAGCAGTAAATGAAGGCTTCTGTGAACTTAGTATGGAAATCGCTTGTTATCACGTGGGCTGTTTATGTGCTGATGCTCTTTCTCAGTTAAACTCTTTGTTAAATGGACATCGTTAGTCCAGGAGTCACTTTAATGTAAAAATGTAAAGCCGAAATCTGTTCATGATCGAGAGGCGCATGTCCTTGTTACTGATAATACAATATTGCCTACCACGTGCACACAGGTCAGCGGACATCTGATATCGCACCAGAGGCCTTATGTGGCTGAATTATGCTGGAGAGATCATCATGAACTGGTGTCTGGATTCGAAGACGCCTCTCTCTGCTTCTGAACACCACGTACCTCCTGCTGTATAGAGATAATGATAATAAAGGCTGTTTATGAATCAGTGTGTTTTGCTTTCATTTGAGATGACTGCATCGTGTGTGAATGCAGACGTGACTCATGTAGACACTTCTGACTTGCCAGCTCATCATCTCGTTCATCGCAGCCGTGTTTGGACCTCGGTGTAGATGTGAGTACTGCCATCTGCTGGGCAAACACCCATCCTACAGCAAAAAGTCAGCTCAGTATCAGTTTCAGACTCTCTAATTTAAAGTTTCTTTATCAGAAATTCAGTCTGAGCAAGTAAAAATGGTCTAATGTCAAAATAAAAATAGGGTTTTTATTTTATAATGTAAGAATTCAAGGCTTTTCCCATTTCATGTTAATGGGAGGAATAGTATGAATTCAATTTTAGCACGTGATAATTTAGATAACACTAATAATAGTGATGATAATAATGTTTAACTCATGTAGTGTCTTTGTCATACCGTCCCGAATAACCTATAAACAGACTTCAGTGAAGGAGACTCCAAGGGCTTTGAAATTGAACAGCAGATTAAAGAGTAAAAATTAAATTTTGAGGTGTTGAAATTCAAGTTTAGGTGTTGGACTTGATTTATTAATGGTGAGATTGAGTTACAAGTATGTAAAAATGTGATTCTTGCATTAAAAAAAAAACCTTTTTTTGTAACGTGGCATGACTGCTAATTTTTAACGAAACAATAGAAGATCCCAGTTTATGAAGAAAAGAATGAAAATCAGGTGTAATCAAGGTTCAAATTGAAGGGCAGCCATGTGTCCTGGACCTCCATGTTGGGTACTGTGTGCATGTAATGCCAGGTAGGTGGGCACCATCTGAAACCTCTCCAATCAGAAGGATAGATGTTGGCTAGTCTCGAGTGGAGTTAATCAGAATCTTGATTTTGCTCAAATGCTCCATCTTCACCTCTTAACCATCTTAAAGGTAAATTGCTCCGTCACCTTTACCGAGATTTCCAGTCTGGCTCGGTTCACACAGAACGCGTCCCGTTTTATTACAGGTACAGTCCTGTAAAAGTGTAAAAGTGCACGTGGGAAGGGTGTGTATTCTCACGTGGCCAGACGTGACCTCATAAATGTAGGTGGGAGGTCTACACTTACTGGGGTGGGAACAAAATTTGAATTCTGAAATTTGTAAACAAATCCAATGTCTCGTGAAGGCGGAGCTTAAGCTAACGATAGAATACTCAGCAACACCATAAACCCAACACCATAAACCCGACACCATGCTGTTGTTAGGCCTTCGCTGTCAGTTAGCATGGCTGAAAATTCTCCCCATCAAATTCTTTACAGTTAAATATTGAGGCTGTAGTTGTGTGTCTTCATGAACACTGGAGACCTTTTCATCTTTTTCTTTGTGGAATTTTGTATGAATTTAAGAACGACTAAAAATGGGTAAGAATTCAGTGGGATGAACCATCTACCCTGCCATCAACTTAGAAAAGCCAGACTCAAAAGCTTATCAGTGGTAGCAACAGTAACCAAAGAGGGCGGGGCTTAGCAAAGGGTATTGGTATCCAAATGATTGGCTCACCGTCATCATCACTTTCCATTCCAAAAGCATGTGTGTCATTCTCCACTTGGAGGGGAAACCATGTCTCAAAAAGATGCTTAAAATATCAGGCACAGCTCCAAAAGTCGGTATATACATTTACACAGTTGAGCTGAGATTAAATAACACATTTCCTTCATGATTTCTCTGATTTTTTTTTATTCTGTTTTATAGTCGCTCCACATCTGTAAAACAGCTCATCACAAAACCAGTTTTCAACATATGAGAAACCATTTTTAATATCAAACAATATTTTTAAAAGGTTTAACTTAGGTAATTGTGTATGATGTATAGGTAATTGTCTATAGTGTAGTGGGTAACACCTCTGGCCTCTACGCTGTAGTCTGGGATTCAATCCCCACCTGGGTAAGAACCCTGCACTATACCAATAAGAGTCCTTGGGCAAGACTCCTAACACTGCCTTCACCTCCCTGTGTAAAATGATCAAATTGTACGAGCGTCTGCCAAATGCCGTAATTCTATTAAAAACAGATTAATTTTTCCTATATTCATCATGAACATTATACTACATAAAACAAATATGTGTCACAGAGATTTTGGTCACTGGTGTTATCGGGACCCTTATGCTACGTTTTAACACAGTATCTTCAGCTCTGTTAAACTGCTTCTTTGGCTCAAGGTTATTCAGAGAGGAAGCATCTGATTGCATGAGAAGGTGAGTCTATATTTGCTCATTATATTTCATAAATGTATCTATAATTTTGTTTATCAGGCAGCACTTCAACTCTATATGTCACTGGTGTTGTGTGCTTTAATGGCTGGGTAATTGAATTTCTGTCAAATTAATGTCAAATATCATTTATATCACTGATTTTTAACAGTTATACAAGGTCACCTGGCCGCTAATAGGGCAGCCGATTCAGAAAATCCTCAGTTTAACCAGAATGTCGCTGGTGTCACAGTCACTGGTGTTACACCACATTCATATAACACCAGTGACATGTCGTGACACCATTGACTAATGTTAATGTCATGAATGATCAGAGCACTTAAAAACTAGTAAATATGGAAATGTAATCTTTTTTATTTATTTATTTATTTTTTACTGGGAAACTGAACTTTTGACTGGACATTTGCACACAAAATGCAAGAGATTTTGAAAAATTAACGTTTATAATCACCAAAATAACAAGACACAAAGCAAGCATTGAACTTTTTCTTTGTTTACTGTATGAACAAGTGCATGAAAAAGTTTCTGAACTCTTGGACTTGAACAGCTTGGACTTCTGCATGAACAGCTCCTAAAACATTAAATGGTCACATTAAATTGTCACTGGTGTTACAGATTTGTTTTGATGAGGTGCTAAATTTGCTGAAATATTGTCTGTATTAGGACTATCTTACTTGAAAAGTTAGAATGTTATTTTTTTTATTTCAGTATTTCAATTTCCGTGTTTATTGCACAACAATTTAATTTTTTAACCGTATATGCGGCACTATAAAATATATAAAAGTATCTGTATTTTTGTATTTTTTAGTGCATGTGAATAAAAGAGCTTTGGTAACATGATTATTCAAATTCAATTTCTTCACTAAATACAGTCACATTAAATTTAAATGGAAAGAAAATACATTTATGACAAAAAGAATGACTCATTAAGGGTTAACACCAGCGACTGACTAAAACTTGGCATTTTACATTAAAATATATTGAAATATGTTTGGAATGAAGCTCTTCTTTTGCATATTTGGTAACAGGAACAAAATCAAAACTTTGTTATATCCTTCATTAAGTCAAATATGTTTAATCATTCTTTCATTAAGTTATGTATATATCTACAAATTTCTCTCTCTCTCTTTGTCTGGGCTGGGAATGTAATGTGGCTAAAGTATGTCTAATTAAATAAAACAGGTGCAGGATTAATTTTTGAATACTAAAATATTTAAGCTGAACCTGTAAAAGTAAGTTAACCCAAGACCAACATGAGTTACATTAACTTATTATGTGCAGTTCGATTAAATCTAATAATGATAATAATGCAATAAATAAGGAGGCCGAGTAAAGTTAGTGTTAGAAAGAAATAAAATAAATAAAATAAAAATTTACATTTATTTCATGGAGTTACTGAATAATTTGCCTCACGATTTGGTCATGTAAATTCAGATGGACCAACCAAAATATACCCCGGAGAATAAGAGGTTAATATTTTACAGCGTATGAATAAACAGAGACTATTATCACCGCACATAAACAGACTGTGAGCTGGTTTTGCTTTATAAAGCTGTTTAGACTTTGCGCAGCATTTCCAGCTGTGGCCAGCAGGGGGTGGCAAAGTGGCCAAAGTCCGCCTCTGCAGTGGAGGAGGCGAAAGTGAAACTTAAACATGGCACGTGGTTCAGCGCGCGCGCGCGCACGCTATACATCACTATTCTATACATGTACTTTCGCTTTACTGCCAGGGGCGTTTCTGGGTCTCCTCACTGTTGCGAACCCTTTAAGGTGAGGGGCCGAGTTTCCCTTGTAGAGCAGAAAGCGATAAAGAGAGAAGCAAAGCAGAGATAAAGGTGAGTTCAATGTTTCTCCGTATTTCTAAGTTCTATAGTTCTAACAGTCAGTTATTGAGAACCTGCTGCATTACGAACTGCGTTATAGAACATTATACAGCTGTTAGTTCCGGCCACGCGAGCTGATTGGTTGAGAGGCGTTCTAACCGTGCTGTTATTTCGCCATAACATCACGGTTTATTCACTAAACACTGTATCACTCCGCTGAGACGCTGTTAAACAGCTAAACAACCTGGAATCAGCCAGAAATGAACCCAACACCATTCGCCAAACTAAATGGGCTGTAAGATGCTTTACAGACCAGCTGGAACAAAACAACATTAATACTGATCTGGCCAAAACTGACAAAACTGAAATGAACCTGATATTGCGGCAGTTTTATGCCTCAGTCTGATTTAGTCAGACTCTGAAGATCAGACTACACGTTTGGTGAATGGTGTTGGGTTCATTTCTGGCTGATTCCAGGTTGTTTGTGTTCTTCTGTCACAGCTGCCGACTGAAAAGCTGCTCAGTGGTGATGACAGTTTGGGAATTTAGTGTAAGGAGCTGGAGAACGAACTGCCGGCTGAGCAGCGAGTGGGCGGAGTTCGTTACTCTGACGTAGCAACAAGCTGCTTGTTAAGGAACTATAATTTGGTGAAGGAACTGCGAACATTAAAACATATTAAACGCCGCGTTCACGGCCCAGTTTATTAATTTATTACTTTATTTATTTAACTGTTGTAGAAAAGCAACAGAACACTCGAGGAAGGTGTTATCACAACCAAATGCGTGATGTTATTTCGCGATAACACACCCCCTTATGTGTTCTATTGCTTAAACGTATATGGATACTATTAGCTAGTTAGCTAACGCAGAAATCCCATTGTAGTGCTGGCATGACATTTGTTTTCTGCACTATAGTTATTTCCAAAATGCAGAAGAAAAGTAATATATTGTCGCTG